GCCCAGGAGAGGTTGGAGCAGGGCTGGAATCACACCTGGCAGCTCTGCCAGGGCCAGATGCATATTTTTGGCTAAGGTATTTGGCAGGAGGAGAAAGATGACTGATGGTCTCTGGAGCTTCTGCTGCAGATACCTGCTGTAAATGAGAGGGAGAGATGCTCCAGGGGCCATCCTGAACCGGCTGGGAGCTGATTGATGGGGATTTCCTCTCTGCTGTGTCTTGTACAAACAGGGGCTGGGCTTTGCCTCCAGGAGCTGTCATGTCCCTGGCCCTTGTAATATAAAAATCATCAGAGCAACCTTTCGGGATTACGCCGGGCAGACTGATGCCCTCCCTTCCTGCATTGCCGTAAAAAATGCTGCTGTATTCAAAATCCTCTTATGTTTATTACTTTCCTTTTATTCCCTGCAAGAGGTGGGAGCTCTCCCAGCGTAATCCGCAGGCTGCTGCACCAGCCCCCTCATCAAATCCAGATGATTCCTGAGAATTAAAGCCTTTGCCAGATTTTTTCATGTCTGTTACATGCCGGGTGCTTTAAGGGTACAAAGGAGGCCGTTGGACCCTGAGCTGGAGGAGAAGCTGAAGGAGGACAGTCTCTGGCATGGAGGTGTGTAGGAGGACACACATCTTACATTGAAACATAGAAACATTGAGGTTGGAAAAGACCTTTAAGATCATTGAGCCCAACCATTAACCCAACACTGCCAAGCCCACCACTAAACCGTGTCCCCAAGAGCAACATTTACACATCTCTCAAATCCCTCCAGGGATGGTGACTCAACCACCTCCCTGGGCAGCGCGTTCCAATGCCTGACAACCCATTCCATAAAGTAATTTTTCCCAATATCATATTTAAACCTCCCCTGGCACAACTTGAGGCCATTTCCTCTCATCCTCACATCTGCTTGTGGTGGCAGCACTCTGCCACCATCCCCTTGGGATCAGGGCTGTGTTCCCCCCATTTCCAGCTCTCCAGAAGTGAGGCAGTTCCTCTGATCCCAGTAAGGAAGATGGAACAGGGCTGGCCAAGCCCTGGTACAGATGAGTTCCCACCATACACAGGGATGCAAGGCTTCCACCAGGACATGGCACCAGTAGGAGGCAAAAAGAGGATTCCCTCCCTGGGCCATACAGTCCCCCCTGGGAAAGGCACTCATCTGCCTGCCCCCATAATGGCTGTTGGGTAGTTAGGACGTCACCTCTGCAATTAGCTGCAGCTCCAGCAGTGCAGGAGGGTATCTAGCCAGGAGATGGCAGTGGTGACCAGGCCAAGACAGGACCCCTGGCCAGGGCATGGGAAAGGCGTTGGGGTCTTACTCCTTGTGCCTTTGGGGTGAGCGTTTTAAGCAGCAGCGGGGTGAATTGCTCATGCAGTGGCCCTAAACATCATGGCTGGGGGCTAATCAAAAGGAACAGGACCCTCCAGCTCAAGCATAATAGGGGTGGTGGGACTTCAGGTCTTGGAGACACCAGCAGTTTAATGTCCTGATTTATAGAAACCTGGCTGCAGTGTCAGAAGAATCCAAGGCTGCCATCTCATAGGAAAGACTGATGGAAATTGGGGAAGGAAGAGGGACATGGGGTGAGGAGGGCAGCCCGGGCACTGTACCCCCTCCAGAGGGGCTTGGACAGTGCTGTTGCTGGAGCCGTGCTCGCCTGGACTTCAGCCCGAAAACTACGATGCAACTGGAAAGATGAAGCCTTAGGACAAAACGATTTCTTCCTTCAGCTTCAGGAGAACAGCCTGGCTGGGACTGGGTCATCCCTGGAGCTTGTCTGCTGAGAACGGGTGGCTGGTGGACTCAGTGCATCTTGAACACCCCTCATGGGGGACAACAGAGCTGAACGTCAGCGTCAAATGCTATAAAAGTCCTTTTAAATAGATACTGCAAGACCCAAGGGATCTCAGTCCTGCGCTCTCATCCCTTCAGCACGCAGCATGAGATTGTTAATGTCCCAGATGAACGGACTAGCAAGGAGTAGGACTTGGATCGGGGCTCATCCTGCTCACTGGAGGAAACAAGAGCAGTGCAGACCCTTTGTCAGGCAGCCACTACCAGCCTGATGCTGAGAGAAGGGGCTGGGCTGGGCTGGTCTTTGGTATCTTCCTCACCAGGGAGGCTCTGGCTGCTCTCCCCCACCCTGGGCCCTGGCTGTTTTTTCTTCTGAATTCACAAATGGTTTTCCAAAATGCTCTTAGACACAGACATCAATTGAGGTCCAAAAATTCAACGTAGCTATTCTTCTTTAAAAGGAAACAGAGGGTTGGTGGCAATCCTTCCCAGCACCATTGGTGACCTCCCTTAGCAAGCAACACCAGTTTGCTTTGATGGCCAAAGTTGCTTGTTGGTGTAAAAGGACATGGGAAGTGTGAGACTGCCCTTGCTGTCACAGCCACCAGCGTGCAGAGGTCCCATGGATGGGCACCACGTCTGCCTCTCACCGTGGCCTCCCGGCACCGCAGAGCACGGCAGCGTGGAGCTGCTGGGGTGACAGCGCACAGAAACAGCAAGCGAGGACATGAGCTGGACCCTCCCCTCCTTGTCCCAGCATGGTGCTTTCACCACAGCAATCTCTTCCCTACTGTATTGGTCAGCAAAAATGGCCAGGAACCCAAGAGGGAAGGTTAAAAAGCCATCACTTTATGCCCTTCTCCCCCAAAATCACAGCATCATTGCACAGCCCAGACTATGGCCACAGGCTCTATGTGACCACAGGAGGCTCAGCAACTGTTTGCACCTTCACTGTGGCAAAAGGTGAGGTTTTGTAGGCATTAACCCAAAGCAAATAAACACAGGGAGAGGTCCTCCTCCAGCTCGGCTGCAGGAGCACTCACCTGGGCATGGAACTGGTCAAACGTCATGACAGGCCCAAAGAAGAAGAAGGGGAGGTAGAAGTTGTACTTGAGGAGATCGAAGATGGAGTAGATGCCCTCTTTCCTCTCAGAGCTCTCGAGTGCGAAGCTCATGCAGCGCATGATGGTGAAGCCGCTCCCTCCATAGAACAGGACATCTTGAAGATCAAAAGCTCCTGTTACAAACCCGCTCTGGATGAGAAACAAAGAGGTTACCACCAGGAATGTGGTGTCACTTCTGTGCTCCCTCGCTTTGTGGAGGACATCACTCCCAGGGCTAATTATGCTGATTATGCTCCAACAGGAATTGTCCTTGGAGCTAATGAGCCTTGCTGTTGGAAGGAGAAAACTGAGGCTCAATTTCCCAGCTGGCTCCTGCATCCCGAAGGAACTGGGAAGTGGTAGATACTCTTGGCCATGTCTTCAAGCAGCTGTAGGCCACGTAGGCTTTGGGCTGGGGTGGGGATATCACCTTGTCACTGGGATATAAGCCTCCCCAGGGGGGGAAGGAAAGCCAGCACAAGCCTGATGGAGAAGGGGGAACACATTTTGGGAGGCAAGCAGCAGGCGAGGACAGGCAGCACTCCAGAGGGACTGAATAGCTTCATAAGGTCCTTCCTGGGCTTCTCTCCACCCAGCAGTGAGAGAACATCTTAACTGGGCAGAGACCTAAGAGACAGGCATAGGCATCACTGAACCCATCCCAGCGCTGCGTTAGAGGTGGGGAAACTGAGGCACGGGGCAGGAACCCACCTTGCCTGATAAGCTGTTGCCTGAGCAGCAAGAAGGACTCAGGAGTCCTGATCTCTGGCCCAGCGTGAAGCCACCAAAACATGACATAGCCCCAAGCTCAGCAGCACAACAGCCCCCCTTCCCTCTCAAACCCTCTGGGAGCTCTGATGTAGCCAGAAGAAATGCCCAGGGTTTGGGGATGCCCCGGGAGGTAAGCCCAAGGTGAGAGGCACAAATGGGCTGGAAATGAGACTGAGACAGCACCTACCTGCCACGAGCTGAATGGCTCCACCTTGAAGGAGGCAAGACAGCAGAGCCCGGCCACGTAGCAGAGCCACTTCTGCTTGGCCAGCGCGACAGAGTAGAGGATAAGGCAGTGGGAGAGGATGATCATCAGGTAGACGAGCCCCATGCTGCCCAGCACGGCCAGGACCCCATACAGCATGTACACCACAGCCCGGTGCTGCGAGAAGAGAGCAGCCCCAACCCGCCGTCAGCTTGGTGAAAGCCCCAACCCTGCTCCCTCTATCCTAGACCATCCCCCAAGCTCCTTCTACAGATCCCAGGAGGATCCCTGCTGCTTTCAAATCCATCCCGCCACATGCCTGGCTCACCTGTGGCACCGTCATGGAGCAGATCTTGCCGAAGAGGACGTGTCCCGAGAGGGCGAAGATGATGACGTTCCTGAATGAGGTGAACCACATCACCCACTCGAAATCGGCCACATCCTGTGGGAGCAGCACCGGGCGTCTTACTGTCCCCATGCCCTCACACCCCTGCCCCAACACCCATCTGGAGGGGAAAACCACACAACTTTCAAAGCCTTTTCTTCCCGTTTTCCACCCAAGGGCTCCCGAGCACTTCAGCCTGGTCATAAAACCCCAGGAGAGGCGCACAGAGGTGCATCTCAGCGCACACAAAGCGGAACATCCGCCACACTGCAGGGCTGATGTTTTCCAGGCTACTTCTTTAGGGAGAAAAACACAATCACATGGACTTTGCAAAAGTGTGTCAGCCGCAGAAAAACCAGCTCTGCTTCTCCAGCGGTCAGCACTGATCATGTCACCTAAACGAGACTGAATACTTCCTCCACTTACCATCTTCCTGCCGAAGTAGTGCCAGCCCGGCTTTATGCCATCCCGAAAGGCTTTTCTGTTCACCCCGTCTGCAAAAGAACCAGAGGAACAGCTCTGGGAAACGGAGTCCGGGTTTTGGCAAGGCAGGGAGCCTTCCTCACCGTGATGATGAGCCATCAGGGCTCAAACACCCTCTCCCCAAAGCACCTGCTTCCCATGGACAATCATAGGAATCAGGAACCCCGACTATTTCGGCATGGCTTTCCAGCAAAGCCTTTGTGCAGAGCCACAATCCCTGGCTGAACACATGCAAGTTTCAGTTTTTTGGGCTTCCAGACAAAAAAAAAAAAATTGGGAACTGGACCTGTGTTGGCAGGGTGGTTGTCTCTTTTGGGCACTGGTTGTGATGTACCACAGCCTCTTGCCCTGAGCGCTGGAAATAGGGATAAGGGGGTAACCAGGAAAAATGCAAAACTCCGTTCTGATCCCTGCAAAGGATTCCCAAGCTGCTCTCTGCAAAAGTTAAAGCCAGGGATCTACTGCTGGTATAAAAGCAGCCACCCTACATCCATCCTCCCACCCGGGGCTCCCTCTGAGGGATGCGATGCGGAGCGTTACCTCTGGATGCCTCGAAGATCCCGCTGCCACTGTACACCACGGCACACGTCACGGTGAGAGCGTAAAACCCCAGTTCGTAGCTGGGGAGCATTGTTTTAACCCCCATGGCAGCAGGTTACCCCCCCGGCCAGTGTGAGGGATCCAGATCTGGGAAAGGGGAGGAGAAGGGAAAAAAAAACACCCAAGGGGTGAGAACTCACCTGCCCTCCCACCCCTCAAACACCCTGAAATGCTGCTGGCCCTCAACAGCCCTGCTTTGCTGGCTTCCTTGGAGGCTGGTAGCCAAAAGGAGCACAACTCAGGTGTGGGGAGGGAGGTGGGAGCTGAGCCTTGCTGCCAAACCCACCAGGAGCCAGAATCTGGGGGCAGCTCAGCCAGGTGATCCCTGTGAAGGGCTCTTCCCAGCAAACTGCATCCATCCTACCGTTCCAAGACTCTCTAGGACACCAGCCACCCGGTTTGGGATTCTTCCAGCGTGTCTCTGATGTCCCCCTAATTCCAGATTGGAACTTTGGAGGGAATCAGGACAGAGCAGGAAGATGCCTGTGCTGGAGGGGACACGGTGGGATGCACCCGCTCCCCTGCCCTGGGCTGCTGCTCACCTTCTGCTGCGGTTTGGCCCAACCTCGAGCTCTCGGG